CGAGGCGAGCGGCAGCGGCGACGGGCCAAAAGCAGGGAGGCGACGGGCCGACGGCAGCCGAGTCACGGGGAGGGAGACGAATCTGTGTCCCCCTCCTCCTCCTCCTCCTCCTCCTCCTCCTCCTCCTCCTCCTCCTTTACCCCCCCCTGCGCCCTCGCCCCTGCTCCTCATCACGTCCCCCCTGCTCCCTGGGCTAGGAGGGCGAAAACATGAATCCGTGTCCCCCTCCTCCTCAGCCTCGTCCTTGAGGGGGGAGCGCCGCCGCCCTGCGCAGCGGGCGAGCAGCATCGCCATTACCACCATCAGCCGCATCAGCATCAGCACAATCATCATACTCATCATCACCATCATCACTGCGATCAGCATCACCAGCATCATCAGCATCATCAGCATCGTCAGCATCGTCGTCGTATTCATCAACATCGCCATCACCGTTATCAGCATCATCATCATCAGCAGCATCATCATCATCGCCAGCATCGGCATCATCGTCATTGTTTTCGTCATCATATAATCGTCATCATCATCATCACCACCATTATCATCACCACCACCGCCATCATCACCACGTCCCTCCGCCTCCTCCTCCTCCTCCTCCTCCTCCTCCTCCTCCATCCACCTCCTTTCCTCCTCCCCCGCCAGTCTCGACTCCACCTCCCCAAATCCCCATCCTCCTCCTCCTCCTCCTCCTCCTCCTCCTCCTCCTCCCTCCTCGTCCTCGTCCTCGTCCTCGTCCTCGTCCTTCCTCCTCCTCTCCTCCTCCTCCTCCTCGTCCTCGTCTTTCCTCTTCCTTCTCCTCCTGCTCTCTCCTCCTCGTCCTCGTCCTCCTCCTCCTCCTCCTGCTCCTCCTCCTCCTCCTCCTCCTCCTCCTCCTCCTCCTCGACACCTCCCCGACACCTCCCCGACACCTCCCTGTCCTCTCTTCGTCCCTCGCCCCCCCCTGCAGGATCTGACGGTACCCCCCCGCTGCGACGTCGCTGCTCCCGGGTGGGTGGCTGGGCGGGTGGCGGCGGGCGGGACAAGCGGGTGGGTTGGGAGGCGGCAGCCGGCGCCGCCCGGCACGGCGCGCAGTGGAAGAGGAGCAGGAGGAGGAGGAAAAGGAGGAAGAGGAGGAGGAGGAGGAGGAGGAAGGAGGAGGAGGAGAGAGGAGGAGGAGGAGGAGGAGGGAGGAGGAGGAGCAGGAGGAGGAGGAGGAGGAGGAGGAGGAGGAGGAGGAGGAGGAGGAGGACAGCAAGTGGTACCCCAAAGGGGCCACGCAGAATTCCACTGCTGCCGCCACCCCACTGCCACACTGTGCTCACCGCTGCGTCAGCCTCTCCAAGCTCTCCTCCCTCTTAGCCTCGCCAACCTCATGGCCCAGTGCAGCCCCGAGGGCCGACTCTGCCGCTGGCTCAAGTGTGCACGCGTACGCCAATTTCAACAGGACCTCAGTGCCACCTCCCAGCTGGCGTGAAAGTGTTGGGCGGAGGAGGGTGCTGGAGGCCCCACGCCACGACCCACCCAAGCCTGTCAAAGGGGGCACCTCCACGGATGGGGACCCTGAACACCCTCCAGAGCGCTGGCCCAACAGGGCCAGGCGACTCGAAGGAGGGGGGATCCGGCTGAGCCACAAGAACAAGGCCCAATGGCCCATCCAACATTTTTTCACACTGCCGCATGCCAGTCTACCGCCACTTCCTTCCTCTCTCCCGCGGTCATCCTTCCCTACATCCCCTCTCGTCTGTCTGTTCCCCTTTACAATGTATCTTCTCACAGCCCGTGGTTACATCCACGTGGCTGTCTAGTTTGATCAACTCCCCAAGGCCGACTGGCGCTGTGGGGGGGCGGATGAGGAGGAGGAGGAGGAGGAGGAGGAGGAGGAGGAGGAGGAGGAGGGGGAGATGAGGAGAAGGAGGAGGAGGAGGAGGAGGAGGAGGAGGAGGAGGAGGAGGAGGAGGGGAAGGAGGAGGGGCGAGCGGCGGCGGCGCGAGCTCGGCGGGGAGGAGGGGGGGGGCCAGAGCGGAGCGCCCCCCACGGGGAAGCCGGAGGACCAGAAGAGCAGCAGCTCGGCGCCCCGCGCGCGCGCGCGGCGCGCGCAGGAAGGGGCGCGCCAGGCGCGGGGCGCCCTGCGGGCCTTCCCGGTCGGCTGGGTCTGCGAGCTCCCACACCTCGCGGCGGTGGGCAGGTGGGCACGGGCCGCCAGGGCGCCCCCCTTGGGCCCGCGGGGCTGCTCCTCCGACGCCGACCCGAGCATCGTCTGCGAGCATTCCTGCTCCCGAGCCGTTGGCGGGCCGTCCGTTCGGAGCATCTTTGAGGGCTCCCAGCTTCGCGCGTCGCGCTGCGCGAAGCGCGAGGTGCGAATGACGTCGAGCTCTCGCGCCGCCTCCAAGGGGAGAGGAGGAGGACGAGGAGGAATCGGAGTCGAACCGAGAAGCGCGAATAACTTCGCGCCCTCGAGGGTGCCCTTGATCTGTTCCCGAGCCGTTGGCGGGCCGTCCGTTCTGAGCAGCTCTGTTTCCCCTCCACCCAGCGGCCGTGGACGAGGCCCTCGGGGGCCTCGGAGTTCGCGAACAGATATGCGGTCCCGAAGCGTTGTTGAACAGTTTGCGCACATCCGAACGCGAATCTGATTCGTCACCCTTCCGAACACATTACATGGCAGGCCTGGGGCTGTTCCACTTGGGCCAGCGTCTCATCAGGAGGCCCCAGGGCCTGGGAACCGCTGCCTTGGCGCCAGCTTGGCCCAGCTTCGGTCCGTCTTTGGGGTCTCTTCGGGCTTTCCAGGGGCCCCCTTCGGGGCCGTCTGGAGCACCCGTGGGGCCAACTGGTCGCGAACAGGGGAGCTGCGGAGGCGAACCGTGCTGCACATGTGGCCCGGCCCCGCGGGCAACAGCAACGGGGCAAAGCGTCAGCGCTCCTCTCCTTCGAGGCCCCTTTTACCAGCCTGGAACATATCCCTATCCCTATGCTGGGCACCTCCTCATCACGATGCCAATCTCAGGGATCCCCTTTTTTTTGAGGGCGCATCCCTCAGATTGCCATCACCTCTTTTGGCGTGCCAATCTTAGGGATAGGGACACGTTCGAGGCTGGTAACCCTCGTCTCCACCGATGGGGGCTGGGGGCTCGCGGGCGGGACGCGCGGCCGCGCCCACTGCCTCGGGGGGCCTGGCTTCCTCGCCCGCGGCCCCGTGGATAGATATACGGGGCGCACTCGCGCGCACGCCGAGCGCGGAGCGCAGAGGCACCGGCCTCGCCTCAAGCTGCTCAGACCGCGGGGGCACGGGCAGCCGTGGGCATGCCCGCCGCTCGAACGAGCACGAGCTCTCGCCATCGCTCGGACGTCCATTCCCTGTGTTTTTTTCGGTTGCGTGCGTGGCTTTTTCGCCAAATGATCAAGGATGCTCCTCGATGGTCCTCGCCGAAGGAAAAATGCGCACGTCCGAACGGTGCCCAGAGCTCGGGTCGCAGCGGCCCTTGCCCCTCCCCCCGACCGAAGACTCAGGCGTCCCCCCCGCTGCTCGAACCGGGAGGGCAGAACGCAGCGCAAAAAAGGGAGAGTCTCGGAGACCTGCGCGGAGGGAGGGGCAGCGCCACATCTAGGGGGGGGCCAGCTCGCCGAGGGGGGGGTGGACAGCACGCTGGGCCCCGGCGAGGCATCGCCGACAGCTCGGCGCTCGGCTGGCCAATCCCCCCCCCCGCCCTGGGCGGGGTGGGCTGTCGGGCCCCTGGCGGCGTTCACAGGGGCGACGGGGGGCCGCTGCGTCCCCTCCTGAGCCAAACCCCTCCCCGACGTGGCCCCCGACGGAGCGTCGCGGAGGCGCCGCCAGGCGGGGCCGGGCGCCGAGCCCTGAGGTCCGCGCGGACCTCCGACGGCCTGTGGCCAGCGCCGTCGCCTGCTCTCCTGCAGCACCGCCGCGCCGCGTCCTCGAGGGTGGGCCCGCCGGGGCGCGGCACGCGAGTGAGATCCGGCGGCGCCCGCTTCGCGGCTGCCGCGGGAGGGAAGGGCGCCCCGAGAGCCCCAGCCTGCCCCGGGAGGGGGCGGGGGAGGGTCGTCGACGAGGCAAAGTCGGCCTCGGCAGAAGCACCGATGCTCGGAGATGATCATGGACGACCTAGGTTACACCACGCCGCTTGCACGCAGCTTGCACATCATATACTGCACGCCACAGGCTCAACGACACAGCCTCTCTCTCTCTCTCTCTCTCTCTCTCTTTTCGAAGGAAGATCTGACTCTACCGTCCTTGGAGGCCGCCGTAAACGGCTCACCTTCGCGTGCATGCTATGCTTTCTGCGCGACCGTCCGTCCTAAATGTGAGTTCAGACCATGCGTAGTGGAGTGACCCACGGCTCACGCACTAATGAGTTGCATCGTGTTGAAAAAAGCCTTGAAAAAACCCAGCATACATTCTCGCACGCTCTTGGGCCCTTCTGGGGTGTGACGTGTCGTGTGACCTCCATGGGCCGAGCAATCCCTCGGAACTATCCCGCCTCGGCCAAATGCCCAGGACCTCTCCCACACGAAACAGCCCCAAGGCCTGCAGAGGCCCTCTAGACACCCCCACGCCGAGACTCCCAGAGCTCCCCAAGCACAATGGGGGACTGATGGGTCACAAGCGACTGGTTCTTACCGCTAGGAAGAAGTGGGCAGAAGCACACAGAGACGAACGAGTCGAGAGAAATATTGGATTCATGTGGCACGGGGGGAAGAAACCAATTCGACTCTTCAAATATGAAGGCGCCTAAGACTTAACCAGTGGATTCTGGACACCAGCGAAAACTGACATTCAACCAGCGATGATTATAGTTCCATGTTGTTTGGTGCGATATCCGAGATAGCGATCCAACAATCTGCCCAAGTGCAAAGACCAGATCCAAGAGATGTTGAGCCGAATGTACCGCGGTCAACCATCGAAAACGTGATACCGCATGCTTGGAGAATCGCCATACGACGCTTCTCCTCAAACAGACGCCCCAATCACATGTCGTATCGCGCCTGGACGCCAACCGATGTCCAACTGAACTGGCCATACCACCTGAACACTTTGGGCAATGGGCAAGGAGAATTGGGGCCACACGAATCGGTCGGACGTGGAGGCCCGTGCTGCCATTCGCCAGGACCCTTTTTGAGCTGCGACAGCGGCGACCTCTGTACAAGCCAAGGGGTCATGCTACGGCAGGGGGAGGCACCCGTCGGCCGCAAAGTACGAGCCGCCCTCGAATTCCGTCTCGCTGGTGGCATTCGCGCCTCGGCCCGGGGAGGGCGGCGGGGGAGAGAAGGTCTCCGCGGGGACCCGGTAGCACGTCGAGGAGAAGGACAGGGCCGCCGGTGCGTCCGCCTCCGCCTGGGCGCCGGCCGCTGGGGACGCCACCGAGGCGTCCGCGTCGCAGAGCGCGGTGCGCGCCGGCGGCGACTGCGGCTCGCCCGCGGGCGGACTCGCCGCTGCCGTGGGCTTCGCCGCGTACAGCTCCAGGAACCTGTCGCGCATGAGCAGCCCGAAGCTGCAGAAGTCCGTGTACCTCGCGAGGGTGCAGGCCAGGGCGGCCAGCGCCACGTCCTCGTCGCCGTCGGCGGCCGCCCGCAGCTGGAGGATATCCTCGAAGAGGCTCAGGTCCAGACCCATCTCCTCCAGGCGCGCGGAGATGAGGCCCTCGACGGTGTCGCAGAAGAGCCTGTGCACCTCCGTCATCGTGACCTCGAATTCGCCGTCGACGTCGAAGGCGCGGAACCTCGGGCAGTGCAGGCGGATGAAGTCGTCGACCTCCTCCGTGGCGCCCCTGCTCCTGAGCGCGGAATCCACGAGCTCGGGGGCAAACTTAACCGCGATGGGGTGCAGCGCCTGCAGCTCCTGCTTCAGCGGTGACCCCGTGGCTCCCTCTCCGGCGCTCGGGGGCGGGGAGCCGGCGGCGGCCCCGTCTCCGACTGCGGCGGCTCCGAGGGCCTCCGGGCCACCGCCGCCGCCTGCCCCGCCGCCGCCCCCGCCCGCGGCGCCCAGGAACCCGAACTCGGGGAGGCCCGTGATCTCGTAGCTGTGGGCCACCTTCAGCCGCCGCAGCTCCTCCAGGGGCTCCTCGCCGAAGGCGCGGTTCAGCAGGAAGCCGCGCCCCCAGGCGGGGGCCAGGGCCCGCTGGCAACACAGGCGCGGCAGCAGGCCGAGGCTCCCGGGCAGCAGCGCCCGCGCCGCCCGCAGCAGCACGAGGGCGCAGACGATGGCGCACGCGGCCGCGCTGGGCAGCGCCGAGGCGGCGGAGGCGCGGTCCAACGCCGGCGCCCACAGAGGCGAGGCGCCGGCCCTGGCGCCGAGCAGGAGGCCGCACGGCCAGATGTCCTCGCGGCACGGGTGGCTCGGCGACACGCGCGGGTTGCCGAAGACCCAGACCGCCAGCGCGGAGTGCGCGAGGAGCGCGAGGGGCAGCAGCCTGGCGCACCACAGGGCCAGGCCGTGCTTGTACCTGGCGGCGGCAGCAGCGGCTGCGGCGGAGGCCACGGCGACGACGAAGACGACGACGACGACGACGACGACGACGACGACGACGACGACGACGACGACGACGACGACGGCGGCGGCGGCGGCGGCGGCGGCGGCGGCGGCGGCGGCGACGACGACGACAGCGTTGAAGACGACGCTGGCAACGCCGACGGCGGCGGCGACGGCGACGTCCACGGCGGCAACGACGCGGACGGCGACCTGGGCGGGATGCGCGAGGCGCGCAGGAGGACGAACTTGTCGGTCCAGTAGAAGAGTGCGAGGCTGACGACGAGCAGGGGCTGGAGCAGCGGAAGCCCCGCCGAGAACATCACGGTGACGAAGATGGCACAGAGCTGCTGTGCGTGCTGGACTGCCAGCTCGAACTCCGGCGGGGTGTGCAGCTCGAAGAGCCTGCCACGATGGTGCCCCGGTTTAGCTCGAAGCCTGCGGACGCAGTACTGCCGACGGGCACCGAGCAGCCACACCCACAGCACCGAGAGAAGCGGGCACACTGCGTTGATGGCCATGGTCAACAAGATGGAAGCCCCAACTTCAGCATACCACTCGAACCCGAAGTCGGAGAAATCGCCATCGCCTATCAGCCCGAACAGCCCGCCACCCAAAACATTGATCCGCGACCGAAAGTTGACCAGCAGCGTCATGAAGCCTATATTAATCAGTTGAACGAAGAATACGACGCTCATGACTCGGTGACTTTGTGCAGTCAGTGATTGTGGCCGCTCCCAGTCAGCGATGTAGACAATTAGCGGTGTGGCAGCGACGCTGACGACAACTACCATCCCAGCAGCGGCCGCCGCAAGCGCGTCCGCCTTTGGCACGCCCGCAATGGGGGCAGAAAGTATGGGAACGATCTCAAACACCAGCGATTTCTGTCCAAACCGACAGCGGCACCCGCTGCGTTTGCCACGTTCAGCCTCACTGGGCAATGTCCGGTGACACAGGCAGCGAGTTCTGCCCACAATGGTCAGCAACTGCTGTTGGTACCCGTCCGCACACTTTCCGTCTCCATTTCGGCCCGCCCTGACGCCTGGAGCGAGGTGGAGAGGAAGCTGCGACACGAGTCGTATATACCCGGGGGCTCATCCTGCACAATCTGCCTGTAGCCAACACCGCCGCACACACAGTCGTGTGCAGGGCCGGCATGTTGTGCCGTGGTGGTTTCCTGAGGGCAGCCCGCCGCGCCAGAGACCTGCGCGGCGATGGCCAGCTTTTTAGCCGTGGAAAAGAGCAGCGTGCAGATGGCGAGGAGCGCCACGCAGCTTAGCAGAACCCACCTCCTGAGAGGAACAACGAACGGCATAAAAAGTCACTGTCGGAGCTCCGCGCGGATGTCTTGGCTCGGTGCTGGTTCCCCCTCCCTGGCGCGCGGAGCGCGGCAGGGGCGGCGCAGGTGGCGCCGCCAGGGTGGCCCAGCGCCGATCCAAGAGATCCACGCGGAGCTCCGAAAGTCTATTGTCATGCGGTCGTTCATGCCTCGGCTCCTGCGCGCCCTCCGTTTGGAGGCAGGGAAGTCGATGTTCTCCCAGAAGATGTCCGAGGGTGCAGGCGCCTGCTCCACCCGCAGCGCGTGGCCAGAGAAGCGGAGCCGCCGAGGCTGCAGCCAGCGGACCAACGCAAGGTTGCTGCAGTGGTACTGGCCGTGGAGGAGGAAGTCGCGGTGGCGCGCGTATGTGAAGGTGACGAAGGCCACGAGGACGTCTCGATCGTCCACGTCCCCGAGGTCGAGGCCGGCACTCGGCCCGCGCTGGATCTCCAGGCTGACGTGCTCATGGCTGAGCTCCGCCCCGGAGGCGTGCTGCGGGCGATCCGGCGGCGGCTCCCCAGCGGGGCTACCAGAGGCTTCCTGCTTTGGAGGCGACCGTGGGGTCTGGACCCCAGAGAATCGGCCAGGAGGGGGGATCAAGCCACATGAGCCCAAATTCTGTCCTGGACCCCTCCCAGGGTCTATCCGGTGCAGCTTTTCGCCCTGGGGTACGAAAGTGGCACTCGGGGCCCGGAAAAAGCGAACCCAGAACCTCGAACCTGCCCGCCCTGCCTGCGGGACGAAACCAAAGGCTGCTGGGCCACCTCAGACCCCCAGACTGCTCCCAGCTCCTGCTCCAGCTGCTTCGTCCGCTGCTGGGCGTCTAGGCGCGCGGCCCGCAGGATGCCGCCGTAGTCGCGCGCGAGGCTCACCGCGTGCACCAGGGACCTCTGAGCCTCGCCGCCGCCGCAGGGCTGCCCGGGGAGGTCGCAGCCGGCAGCCTCCAGCTGCGCGAGGAGGCGCGCGTCCAGCAGGTCGCACTCGCTCGGGCCGCCCGCGGCGGTGCGGATGCGGCAGGCGGTGACTTCCGGCGGACAGCCGGGCATCGGGCACCACTGGACGTCGCACGCGTCCCGCCGGATGCGGAGGATCCTGCCGAGCCTCCGCCCCCGGGCGTCGCAACAGCAGCAGGCCGCCGGCAGCAGCCGTGACCGCAGCGGCGGCGCCGCCTGGCCACGGTCCGTACACAGCACGACGAGCAGGCCAACCTGCCAGGGGGGGGGGGACGTCAATTGACCATCTCACCCATTCTTTTTGGGACGCCCGAAGTTGGTTCGGGGAACAACGGTACAGTGACCACCAGCAAACGTTGTCCACAACCAGCAGCGGCCGCTGTTGGGCAGGCGCCTATCTGTCTCACATGGACAGCGTCCGCGGCAGCGCCGACAGCGAATCCTGCAAAAAAAGAACTGCTCTTAGTCTTCATGCCTGTTCTTTCCGTACCCATTTCGGTCCTCCAAGATCCTGGCCGCCCCATCTGGATGAACAAACAACGGCATAAACATAAAATTCTGGCGGTCCGCGAGGATTTCTTGGATCTGAGCTGGGCTCCCTTCCCTTGCGCGCGGAGCGCGCCAGCGGCGGCGCCAGAGGCGCCGCTAAGGTGCTCCAGCGCAGATCCAAGAAATCCGCGCGGAGCGCAAACAAATTATGTTTACAGTGGAGGCCCATGCCAAGAAACCCTCGGCTTGCCTCCAGGGTGCCCTGGGTTTCTTGGGGTTCGACTGTTTTGCGATGTGAAGCGGGATGTTCGCACCAAAATATCAACGGAAGTCCTGGGGTTCCAGGGTTGGGTTTCTTGTGGAAGGCTTCTTGTGGTCGGGCCCCTACTTTTCTCGTTCTGTGAATTTGCGTTTCCTTTCGAGGAATACTTACATCCACATTCTGGCCAGCGTGACCCCCTCAACGGTGAGTTCTTGCATTGCGGAGGCAAGGACCTCGCCGTATAAACCATGGCGTGTGAGCTATGTGGTGTGAGCCGGAGGTGAAAGCTATGCGGGGTAAGCTGTATGGTGCACGTTATATCGTGCCATCCATGTGGTCTGAGCCAGAGGTGGAGGGCACGTGGTGCAAACGATGCTCTATCACTTACGCTGTTGTGTCAGTGTTCTTGAGCAGGGACCGGCCGGCCTGGCATTCCTATGGTCCTACCACGAAATGTTCTTAGAACCCCAACAATGTTCGAATCACAAGAATAATGTTCTTAGAACATAAACCCGATGTGGTAAACCAAGACAGACTCCGCCAGACATGTTCTGAGAACATTTTGCGGAAACCACAAGAGGTTCTTAGAACATTATTTGGTAGGGCTGTAGGCGAGCCAGGACGCTTCGCCACTGCTTGATGTTCTCCTCTCCGACCCTGCCGCCCCACCGGCCAAAAAACTCGGGTCGGGCGAAAGGGGGGGATAGCAAAGGGGGGGTTGAGAATCAGCTCACGTAGCTGATTTTCCCGGCGCCTCCCAGCGCCGGGAGCGGCCATGTATCGAGGCATTGGCCCTTCGGTGAGGCCGAAACCAGCTGCATGCAGCAAATTTCGTACCCCCCCCCTTTCCCAATCCCCCCCTTTCGCCCGACCCGAAAAACACGATGGGGCGTGCTCACCGATCCCGGGCCCACGCTGGGCCTGACCGGGTTCGGTGACGTGGCCCGTCCCAGACATCCTTCGCTGCGCTTTCGTTGCCCGCTCTCGGCGCCCCTCCGACGGCGTCGGCGTCGGCGCCGCGCCGGCGTCGGCCTCGGCCGGTCTCGTTGGCCTTCGGGCGGCCTCGCAGATTCTTTGAGCGTTTCCGTGCCTCGGGTGCCTTCCAGCAGCTGCGCCTCGCCGGGGGCGTTCCAGGGGCGTCTGGATCGTCTCGAACGGCCGCTGGAGGCCCGAATTACAGTAGGGGCCCGACCACAAGAAACCCTCCACAAGAAACCCGACCCTGAGACCCCAGGACGCCCACTGATTTTTGATGTGGGAAGGTCGCGCTTCCCATGACAAAACCCTCGAGCCCCAAGAAACCCAGGGCACCCTGGAGGCAAGCAAGGTGTTTCTTGGCATGGGCCTCCACTCTGACGGGTTCTCTGGCCAGAGACCCCGCGAACCCAATCCTCCCCGATGTGTAGGCCACGCTGCAGTGCCGGAAAGAGGCCCTGAGGGGGCAGCTTCCCGCAATCTTCCAAGCAGTGCCCGTGGGTGGGTATACCCGTTACGGTGCCGCAGGCGCCCCGCGACCGCAGAGCTCCCGGAACCTTCCCTGGGGCTCGCTCTTCGGGCGAAGAACGGTGTAACACAACTTTTTCGCCGTCGGGGGCGCCTGCCCCAACGCGGCTGGAAAGTTTATACCCTTACGGTGGCACCGTAGGGGTATAAACTTTCCAGCCGCCCAGGGACAGGCGCCCCCGACAGCGAAACAGTTTATTTTATACCTTTCTTCGCTCGCTGAAACTTCGTCCCCCATCCACGCTTGCCGGCCCCTCGGGGCCCGCAAGCGGCCCCTCGGGGCCGAACGGAAAGCACACCTCGGGGCCGAGCCGAAAGAGCGCCTCCCACTGCCGAGGCCCCGTGCACGGCCTCAGCCAGGCGCTCTCGGAACTCCGCGCGCGGACCTTTCTTGGGTCGGCTCCGACCGCCACTCCCCGGCGCGCCGACCGCAGACGGGGAAGGGGGGGGTGTCCAGCGCCGATTCAGGAATTCCACGCGGAGCTCCGAAAGCCTACGTTTGTGATTCTTGCTTGTTGTTTCGTGGCTGAGAACGAACAAACGCGATTGACCAGAACAGATCGGCGACTCAGCCGCCCCGATGCGCAACGCGCAGCCAGTAGCGTGTTGGCACGGAGCTCAACGCGTATACTGAAAACGTGAAGTCTGGCGCGATACCTCCGCCCAACTCTGGGCCAACGAGTGCCGAGCCAACACGCAACGTGTTGACACGGACGCTCTGAACACGGTAATTACGTGCTGCGTTTCAAAGCGAGCGCATCCGGGCAACGAAGATTGTTAGAACAATCCAAAACATCTGCATACGCATGAACTGTTGGTGCTCCCATCGGATTCCTCGGATCTGCGCTGGGCCCCCCTCCCTGGCGCTCCCTCCGCGTGCCAGGGGCGGCGCTGGAGGCGCCGCGCGGATCCAAGAGATCCGCGAGGAGCGCCAAACAAGTTCTTGTGCTTGAAGGGGCCCCAGGACACACACACACACACACACACACACTCACACACATACAAATAGACACAAATAACAGGATTCCCCACATTTTCCAATATTTTCTGGGTTTTTGTTTTCCCCCCCACTTCCCATATGTTCCCACATCTTCTATGGGGTCGACGAGTCATTGTGTCTGTGGGTTTTCTTCCCTCCTGATCGTGGGAGGTCTGGGCCTGGCCAGCCGGGCTGGCACCGGTGATGTGCTGCCTTGCGGGACGCCCCTCCCGCGTGCCTGCGCGCTGCGGTCCGTCACCTGTGCGCGCAGCAGGGCGTCGAAGTGCGCCGCGAGCCGCTCCGCGTAGCGCGGGTGGTCGCCCGCCAGGCGCCGCGGCAGGCCCGTGACCGAGAGCGAGAAGGCCTCCAGAGAGCAGACAATCCACCCCCATAACAAGCACCCCGACAAGCGAAGCCGTTCAGTGAACGCACCCATGGAAGGAATCGAACAGGGCAGGGCTGTTTAGGGAACGCCCGGGGCTGTCTAGTCAACGCGCATTGTCGGGGTCGGGGTGGTCCTTCCACCCTTGAGCCTCGGAGCATCGTCCGACCGACCCCTGTCCCAACCTCGGCTACACGCGTGGCCCCGGGCAAGAGTCAGCTCTTCGGTGCGCGGTCTGAGGGGGCGCAGGGTGGCCACATCCAGGCGCGCAGGCAGCCGCCATCGCCTCGCGTTCAAGGATCGGGGGGACACCGATGAGCCCGCACCACAGGTCACTCTGGCGACAGGTCACTCCTACAGGTCGTCGACCACTGGCGGGGCCTGGCCCCGCTGGCCGGCTTACCCACCCAGGTGTTGATATCAACCACGCCAGGGGCGTTTCTCCATATCCTCGAGATCGACGGTGTCTACTTTCTGGTTTGGGCGCCTGTTTTGATGCATTTCATGCCGGCATCGGCCCGTGACCCACCCACCGGCTGGTTGCCTGTCTGTTGTCAGCACGATTTTGAAGCGTACTGAGGTATCACGATGTCGCCTGCCTGGCGTCCACATTCAAGGGTGTGGAATTTACAGCGTCCTGTCTGAGTCACGAACGAAAAAATGGAAAACGGCCAAGCAAACGCCCCAAGCGCTTTTCAAGAACAGCTCAACCCAAGTGGGAAATCCACCCCCCGCCGCCCCCTCCAACTGCTAATGGGATCGCCCTCCTCCCCCCCCCCCACACTGGACGGGTACGCAGGAGAGCCTCTCGACAGCCTCGCGACACTGGAATCGCCCCCCCCCCCCCCCCTGTGGTCGTGGCCCTGTGGGCGTGGCGTGGTGGTGGGCCTGTGGGTGCGGAGTGGTCCGTCGTCGCCGCCACCGTCGTCGTCGTCGTCGTCGTCGTCGTCGTCGTCGTCGTCGTCGTCGTCGTCGTCGTCGTCGTCGTCGTCGTCGTCGTGAGTCGTCGTCGTCATCGTCGTCATCGTCGTCGTCGTCCTCGTCCTCGTCGTCGTCGTCGTCGTCTTCGTCCTTGTTGTCGTCTTCGTCCTTGTCGTCGTCGTCGTCCTCGTCGTCGTCGTCCTCCTTGTCGTCGTCGTGATCGTCGTCGTCTCCCGTCGAGTCTTTGCCCTCGTCGTCGTCGTCGTCGTCGTCGTCGTCGTAATCCCACCCATCCCATCTGGGAAGACGGGGGGTCCTGTGGGGCCCTTGGCCCGTCATGTCCGGGGGGGAGGGCGTGAACCCTCGACCCGGGACCATATATGCCTGTGCCTTCGGGCTTTGCAGGGCCTATCCCCACCTAGGAGGGTGGGCTGGTGGGGCTGAGACACCATGGCCCAACGGGGATGGGCAGAGGTTACGCGATGTTGAGCCTCTGGGCTCACGCGCATGTTCTGGTGGGCGGCCACGGCCCGCGGGATGCAGTGGGCCTCCAGCCACACGAAGCCCAGCAGCAGGCCCAGCGTCACGACGGCGTCGAGGACGCCGGCCGCCAGCGTGACGTCCCGGATGTCCGCCTCCCAGCCGAGGAGGCGCACCGGCCTCTGCGAGTCGCCTGCGTGCCACGTGCCCGGGCCCTGCGGCGAGCCGAGGTTCGCGATCGTGGTCCGGGCCAGCCAGCCCGTCAGCGGCCGCGCCCCCCCGCCGCCCTCCACCGCGTCCAGCGTCCCGCCCGCGGCGCTGCAGACCAGCAGGGGGGCTGCCAGCAGCGCGGCGGCGCCGAACGCGCAGACGGCGTGGCGCGTGAGGCGGAAGTACAGCTCGACGCCCACGCCGTAGACGCCCAGGCTGGAGGGCCGCGTGGCCCGCAGGGGCCAGGGCCGGCCGTCGCCGTCGCTGCACAGGCTCCGTACGCGCGCCTGCCTGGCCTCGCACAAGGCGGCCTCGAAGGCGGCCGTCCGCGGGTCGCCCGCCGCCGCGGCGTCGGCGCCGTCGGCGGCGGCCATGAGCGCCCCGGGGGGGGGCTCGAGCCGGGAGGCTGCAGACCTGGACCCCCTCTCGGGGGCGTCCAAGAGGGGGGGCGCAACTCAAGGCCCGCAGCACGCAGCACGTGCGCGGCCCAGGGGGGGGGGGCTGGGAACGTGCTGAAATATCCTGGCGATCCCCGCTGTTCGAAGCCCCTCGGCCTCTCATCGCCATGAGGTCCTGTCATGTGTGGAGGGGATATATCATGGCCCGCCAGGAGATCCCCCCCCTAAGTCATCCCCCCCCTCTTGGCCGCCCCCGACCCTCGAGTCCAGAAGAAAAATCACGGCGGGGTGTGTGTCTCGGAGTGTGCGGCCTCCGTGGGCCCTCGCCAGGCAGCCAGGACGGGCAACAAAACGCGACGCCGGAGGAACACAAAGGTCTGCGGCCCTGCGGGTCGACGTTGCGGGGGTGACCGTTGGGGGGGGGCTCGGGGGATAGGTCCATGCCGCTGCGGCTCTGCGGGTTGACGTTGCTGGGTGACCGTGTGGGGGGGCTCAGGGGACAGATACGGTAGGAGCTCGACCACAGGAAACCTTCCACAAGAAACCCAACCCTGAGACCCCAGGACGTCCGTTGATTTGCGGCGTGGGAACGTCACGCTTTCCATCGCAAAACCACCGAAACCCAAGAAACCTAGGGCACCCTGGAGGCAAGAAGGGTGTTTCCTTGCATGGGTCGCTTATATAGGTGGGCGGAGCCCACTGAGCCCAGATCGCTGAGCCCCGAGCCAAAGAGTTTCCGAACAAGAGAGACAACGCTATTAGAACACATGAGCCGACGCCTTGACACAGCATATGATGTCTGCAAGCTACAACAAGTTCTTATCATTCATGTCTTCGCGGTGGACCAATATCTCGTCGCTGCTTGAATACCCATTCTCCCCGGCTCTCTTCTCGACCGTGGGGCAGCCCAGGATCGCCCCAATACGCTGCCTGCAAGATGCTCTGAGGTTGGTTTGAGGGACGGTACAAAAGGCTTTCAGACGCTCAAAGTTGCCCCCCTGAGAGGCCCCAAGAACTACAGAGAAACCCACGGAGGGCTTCCCAGCTAGGGGCCTTTGGGTATGGCCCCTGGAAGCGGCTGTGTGCTGCAGACGCCTGGTTTTGTTAAGTGCTTGTCTTTCCCAGTGCTATCTTCATAGAACTGACTCGGGCAGGAACCAGAGGTCCCCTGTCCGACCCAAGAGGACCCTGGGGCCCCAGGAACCTAGCCCTGGGAACCCTAGATGATGGCAGAAGGCGACCCAAGAGGTCCCCGAGGGATCTTTCCCTCCTCTGACTGTGGGGTGATCCTTTCCTCCTCTGGGTCCAGGCGGGCTGGCCTGAACGCGGAGACGATGCGCTCTCACGAGTCCCGCACGATGCAGAACGTGTCCTCGGGAGGGTGGGGAGGCGAAGGACGTCGGGCCAGCAGAAGGAGGAGGATACGAGGCTGGGAGTCATAGATACCCACACGTCCGACCTTGTTTTCTTCACAGCGCGGATCCCCAGAGGTCTGGACCTCTGTCCCCGCCCGTTGAGGCCGCTCCATCCACAATGTTGGGTACAATTCGTGTGGGCGCGCCCCGTGCACACTTACCCAGGACAGTGATGCCACATCGCCAACGAACAAAAAAGAAGTGAGTGCTTTGAACTGCATAAGACCGCTCGCACCGCTCGCCAAGATCTAAGCGGTCCGAGCGCTCATCTCCGCCTCTCTCCTTCTCCACGGCCGCCCTCCTCTTGGCTCTTCCGCTCAGCGCCCAGTTCGCGACTCCGTCGCCCCGTCTGCTGCACCCGCTGCGCTGAGGGTCCGCCAGCGCTGCGACTGACAAGTGTTTCGAACTGCGCCCGCCGCGGCCAACTGGGAGAGGGCCAGCAGCATCGAGACTCCGTGCACGCCGGCCGGAAGAGGTGGGCAGAAGCACGAAGCAGGAAGGCGTTGGAAGCAGACTGGGCCTCCGCCCGCCCCCTGAAGAGGAGGGAAGAAGGAAACCAGTCGACCCTCTGAAGCACGAAGGCGCCTCGAGCAGATTGTTACCTTGGAGTCCGAACATGCCTACTCAAGGAGGGGAAGACACACACAGACACAATTCATCACCGATTCCCCAGAACATATGGGGAAAGATGGGAAGTTTGGGGGAAGGCAAAAACCTAGAAGAACATATGGGGCATCCTGCTATTAGTGTGTATTGTTTTGTGGTCCCACTGGGATGACAGTGGGGGGTTCTAAGTGAAAGGGGGGCTACAAGTGGATGCCAAGGTGGGTTATATCTGGCCCAAGCTGGCTTATAACTGGGTTACACATTCCCCGAGTGGCTTAGGGGAGTTAGATAACTCGGCTAAGTGGGCGGAGCCCACTTAGCCCGGATCTTTGAACCCCCTAAGCTGATTAAGGCACTTGTAACCCACTTATAAGCTAGGTTGGGCCAGATATAACCCACCTTGACATCCACTTGTAACCCCCCTATCCACTTAGAAACCCCCACGGTCATCCCGGCAGGGCCCCTTCAATACTTCCAACGACCGTCGTGTGTGCTTCCTGGGCGGGCCGCGGGCGCGCACGGGCGCGGGGCGCCAGACGCGGCGCCGAGGCGGCCCGGGGAGGGCACGCGAGAGGGCACGAGACCCTTCACGACGGGAAGGTGGACCCCCACCCACACGCCCAGTCTCGGCCCCATCCCCGGACTCGCGATCCAGGGTGTCGGGGCTGGGGGTGGGGGTGGCTGTTTTCGGGGCCCGAGGCTGGAGAGAGCCCAGCCCCACCCGCAGCCCCGACCCCCTGAATCGCCGGCGCGGGGATGGGAGCTGGGACTGGAGGTGGGGGTGGGTTTTCGCCTTCTGATCCGAGAGTCACATCGCCATAGGAATGGAAGGAGGCATCGGTCGCGAAGCTCAGGACACCAAGGTACACTTGATTTGGCAGGGTCGACCTACTCATCAATCTCGACTCTAGTATCTACAGTCGGGCTGCTGAAGTGAAGAACGCTGGACAAAATAACGAAGCTCTTTTTTGGCACCAGAAGGGCCTGCGTGGACGAGGAGCGCTAGAGTAACAGCCATGGAAGGGCCTAAGGAACATCGAGCCCCCTCCGAACCCAAGCTGTTCCTCAAAACAGCGTCGTGACTGCATGGCAGGCGCGCAGGACAAGGGTGCAGGATGGCTAGGCGCTGGGGATGACAGGGAAGACACGAACACCTTGTTTCGTAACGTCGGCCCCCGAAAATCTCGACCGTCTTCCCTGAGGCGGGCATTCCATCATGAGATGTTGTTTTGCGGCCACGGGACGGGGCAACGGCCCCTAGAGGTCGAATACCACAATAATTCCTAGCAGCACGCAGCACATCATGTGGTGTCGGGGCCTCAGTTTTAATGAGCGCTGCCCCGCATCTCTTCTCCTCCCTCCTCCCCTCCTCCCTCATCCTCGTCACCATCATCATCGTCATCACCATCACCATCACCGTCACCATCAACATTATCACCACCATCATCATCAGCAGTGGCAGCATCAGCATCAACTTCCTCATCTCCATTAGCGTGACCACCATCATGATCAGCATGAATCCTCCATCAACATCATGCACAACAGCACCACAAATACCATCATCACCATGGTCATCGGCAAGCACATCAGCGTCAACACTATCACCATCATCTGTCACATGTCGCCACATTCCTCATGTTCCGTGGCCCAAAAGTGAGCTCCTCCTAAGGACCCAATGGCTGCGTTCACATGCGTCCCCGCCGCACTGTTCGGCACACCCATCACGCGTTTCGTTGGCCCCATGGGAAGCTCCATCGAAGGCTCCAGAATGAAAGCTTGCCTCTAATCTCGGCGCGCTCTTCGGGTGTTTCGTGGCCTGCCAGCGAGCTCCACCGAATGCTCCAGTAGACACCCTGATGGTCCGCTACCGAAAATTTCCAGTAGCGCTCCGCAGAGATCGGTCGCTACCGAAATACCGAAGTGTAGCGCCCAGTACCGGTATCAGAGCGTTCTGAAATCCGCTATTTCAACGCCCTCAAACGAAGATCCGGTCGCTACCGAAATTCGGGGTGCGTCGAAATCGCTACCGAAAATTTCCGGTACCAGACCATCTGGGAGGGGTCGCCCGCGCCCTCACCTCTCCTTCCGGCACGTCACTCGCATGCTTTCTGGCCCTGGAGCTCCGCCGCGGACCCCCCCGGGGCAGAGCTCGCATGGCGGACGCCCCGTCGTGTCCCCCCCCCCCATATGGTCACCACGCCCCTCCCCGGGGACCGGCTCTTCCTCCAGGGCCGTTCTGCCGACGGCCCCGGGGGGCTGCCCGCCGAGAGAGGCCTCCCCCTCGTGATGCTTTCGCGACGCGGGCATGCCTGAGTCTCCTCCTCGTTCGTCCTCCTCCTGCAGAGGCCTTCCAGATGGGGTCTGAGCACACCCTGCTCGGAGAGAGGGAAGATGCACGATGAGAGAAAATGGACTTCCCCCTCTGAGCGATCGCAAGAACAGTAATGGAGGTCCAAGTATACGAACACCTTACGGGACATCATCCCCAAGACAACGCCCAGGGCCCAGTCCAAAGTCCCGATGTTCTTCGACGACTTCTAGAATACATGCAAGTCGATGTGTTCTCTTGAGATTTCTGATTGGTGCTCATGGGGTCGGAGGATCGCGCCGCATCGCCGATTCATTGGCAACGCATCGGCGACGTCGGCGATGCATCGGCGCCGTTGGCGCTGAGGAGCTCGGACCCCACGTTGAGCCGCATCGCCGATGCATCGGCGATACGGCGCGATCCTCCGACACCATGCGCTCGGCCCTCATGCGGGAGGCCTGGATCCTTGTCCTCTCCTTGCCTCCTTCTCCTCCTCCGCCTCCTCCTCCCTCTCCTTCTTCTCCTCCTTCTCCTCCTCCTTGCCATGAGGTTATGGTGCCCGAAGCGGTCCTGGGGCGTTTCTTAACGCTTCTGACTTGAGCCCTCGAGGGCTTGTCCTGGTTTGTCTTTCGGCCCTTGGTCGAGCGAAGACAATTCGGGGCTCGGGCACTTCCATAAATCGCTGGGTGCAGCGCA